CCTCCGTCCAGGCACCGCAGGGTGTGAGCGTGCTCGGGGCGCATACCGCTTCGGGGAGGCGGTTAAAAGAGGTCGTTCGGGCGGGCCCTAACCCAATAGGGCTGGTGTCCTAATAAGAACAGGAAGATCTGGGTGTCGACGCCAGCAGAGGAAGATGATGTGAAGCCACGGGAAGGAAACACCCATGCACGGCGACCAAGCAGCGGCCTGGGAAATCCTCCTCTGAGGCCCTGAGAAGCGACCTAGCCTGCTGACACCTTGACCTTGGCCTTTCAGACTCTGGAACTGTGAGAAAGTGAATATTCATCCTTCTTTATTTCTTAAATTTATTTCCAGGAGAGAGAGAGAGAGAGAGAGAAATAGATGCAGGGGTTCCCAGAAAGTCTAACCAGCCCACCTCTGCTGTTTCAGATTTTTCTGAACAAGCATCACTCCTTAGTTGGTGGTACCCCCACCAACAATAGGGGTACACGTGGTGCTGTCCGAGTGTCCCATTGGAGGCCCTCGCTATGGTCTGAATGTTTGTGCTCCCCACAGAGTTTGTATGTTGAAATCCTGATCCCCGAAGATAATGGCGTTGGGGTCGGGGGCTTTGGGAGATGCTGATGTCGTAACAGTGGGGCCTCATAAATGGGATTAGTGTCCTTAATATTGAGGCCCTGGAGGGCTCCCTAGCCCCGCCCCCATGTGAGGACACAAGCAGAAGTTGCCAGGTCTGAACCAGGAAGAGGGTCTTCCCCAGAACGCAGCCATGCTGGTACCTCCGATCTCAGACTCCCTGTGAGAAATAAGTGTCTGTTGTTTACAAGCCCCCCAGTCTGTGGTCCCTTGTTGCAGCAGTGCAAAGGGACTAAGACACCCCTCGCTGGTGATATGGCCTCGTCCCCACCCTCCTCTTTGTAATTCCTCCCTCGCCACTTTGAAATCCTCTTCCATATTTGAGTCAGGGGTTCCAACCACCCTCCCTGAGAAGTTTGCATGGGGATCTCTTTGGTCTGTGACATCTATTGTCCTTGTGCCTCCTCCAAATCCAAGGCTGGGATGGCCTCATGGTTGACGCTCTGCTTGTGCATGCACCCATTTTTTTAAAGAGTGGAAGGAAATAAAAATGAAATCTAGTTATAGTTCAACCACAGGTTTGCAAATGATTTTATTTTCTTCTTTAGACTGAATATTCCTGATATTTTCCTGGCAACCATTATGTTGACGGTGGAACTGAAAACAATGAGAGCCTTCGTAAGGGCCGTGCCCTCGCTCCAGCTGGAGCCCCGGGAACGTGGAGAGGGTTGGGAGCGGTCAGGTCGGGGCCGCTGAAGCAGTGCAGGTGTGCTGGCTTTGGAGGCCAGCACAGCCCGAGAGCTGCAGAGTGACCGAGAGAGGGTCCCAAGGGAGTGGGTTCTTGACTATGGTGAGCTCAGGCTGCCCCTCAGATACTGAGAAAAGCAGCCCTCCCCACCGCACCCCTCCTCCCCAGGGCCCAGGGCCCTCCGTCCTGACCTTGCAGCAGCCCCACCTGGAGGAGCAGAGCTTCCACTGGCACTGGGGGGAAGGGGCAAAGAGAAAGCGTCAAGCCCCACCCTCCCCACTCCCGCCTTGGACTGCCAGCTCAGACAGTTTTTCCTCTGTCCTGCTAGCCGGTACTTGCTGAGGTCACCGCTGTTTTCAGCTTCGAGCAGAGCCTCCGGTGTTCGTTCGTTCGTTCATTCATTCATTCTTCATTCACTCCTTCCTTCCCCACCTTTTATTCGGCACCTTCTCCAGGCCAGGCCTGCTCTGGTATAGACAGATAGGGCCGTGTGGCATGGTTTGTTGCCTGCTTGGACCTCACAGGTGGTTAATGAGAGACCCGCAGTGACCCTAGATGTGATTGGTGTGCAAGGCATTCACAACCCTCAAGCCCTCCCAGAGGCCTTTGGGGGCGGAGCAGCAGGCAGCTGTGCGGGAGTGAGCTCTGAGCTGGCTGGCGGCTGAGCCCGGCCTGAGCCCCCTCCCACCTCAATGGGCATCGGCCCCCCTTCCTCCACACCCTCAGGCAGCGACTCCCTTTAGAGATTGGAAGGTCATTGCCATCCTTCCTTCCATGGACTCCTGTTAGTGGGAGAAGATGGCGCAAGGATCACATGGACTTCGTGGGATTCAAATCTCCCTAAATTGGACGGTGTGTGCGTGGCAGGGCGAGGCCAAAACTTTCTAAGATGCTCTGTCAGGACCACAATGCAGAGAGGTTTGAAAACTCTCGCTTAGCCCTGGCTGGTGTGGCTCAGTGGATTGAGCAATGGCCTGCGAACCAAAAGGTTACAGGTTCGACGCAGTCAGGGCACATGCCTTGGTTGCAGGCCAGGTCCCCGGCTGGGGGTGTGCGAAATCAACCATTGATGTTTCTCTCTCTCTCTTTCTCCCTCTTTACCCCTTTCTAAAAATAAAAAATAAATAAAAATCTTAAAATAAAAGAAATTATAAAGTGAGCTGTAAAAAAAAATAAACATTGAAAACTCTCACTTAGCTGTACGCGCACACTTTGGGATCAATGACGGGCGTACAAACCCCCTGGAATACTACCGCAGAACAACTCACGTATACCGCACTTATTCTAAGCACCGTGTGGATGTGAGTTTACTGACTCCTCGTAACAACCGTGAGATTTAGGAACAGCTATTGCCCGCAGTTTACAGGTGGGAACGCTGAGGCGAGCGGCGGCGCAGGGACCCCGCACAGGCCCTGTGAGTCCGGGCCCTGGCCCCCCGCAGTGCAGTGCAGCAAGCAGGGGGTTGGGTGGAGAGGGGAACGCCCCTGGAGCCTGATTTGCAGGGACACATCGAGGAGGCTACCCTATCCCCTTTGCATCAGCCCTTCCAATGAGCGATTCCCCCTAATTTGACAAATGAGGAAAGAGAGGTGCAGAGAGGTGGCGGCACTTGCCCCAGGTCGCGCAGCTCGGCAGTGGCAGGCGCTGCCTGATTTTGAAGCTTAAGGCCTGTCCAGGGCGTCGCAGGCGCAGGCCCCAGGAACCAAAGGGCAGTGGCTGTGTGCTCACACGGGGTCAGGCTGCCGGCGGTCAGGCTGCAACGGAGCAGCACTGAACCTGCGACTTTGTTGCATCAGCCTCTGAGTCACCGCAGGAGCCAGACTAAGGAAGCAAAACCCTGCTTTGTAGGCTCTTGTACAGGGACTAACTTGTTTTTTACATTCATGAGACTAAAAATCAACACCACTCTTCCTTCATTCTGTCGCTCAGGGAATGCTGCCGGGGCACCTGTAGGCTGCCGTACCCCCACTCCGGTGCCTGGGCCACAGCAGGGAGCGCCAGTGGGGCGGACCCTCCTGTGGGGGGCGTGGGGGTGTCCGTGCAGAGAGAGAATGGTCCAGGGCACAAACCCTGACTCAGAATCTGAGCTAAGGTTTTTGTTTTCTCCTCTGTAAATGGGGTAAGGATAGGGGAGGGAGAGAGAGAGAGAGGGAGGTGGGGAGGGAGAGAGAGAGAGAGAGAGGCTCTTATCTGGCACATCAAGTTCCAGCCTTGCCCTGGAGTTGGTGCATTTTTGTCCTGTGAGCTTGGACATGCCCTTGGTTGACATATGAATGTTTAAACCTGCAGAGAATTTTTATAAAAATTTGAGTCAAACAGAGGTTCTGCCTGGAAGCAGGCTCTCAGCGGACTGCGATAAATGGGAGGGAGCCAGGCAGGGTTTGGATTCCAGGGGAGTTTACGTAACTGTTCTTGTAGGCAGGGGGCTGTGCAGTAGCGGGAGGGCTCTGAGAAGAGTCATTTCAAAGGCCCGTTGCCATAGCTGCACAGGTACAATAGATAGGCCTTGCTTATGGCAAAAAGCATCCTTTCACTAAAGAAGTTAATATGCCTGGGCTGTGACTACTCACCAGGACCTGCCCAATTAGAAATTTATGGTCAGACCACCCTGTGAGATTATGTTCCATAGAAACCTTTTTGTCACCCACAGCTTAGACTTCTTGGAGCCCAGCAGCAGAGCTGGGATTTGGGCCCTGGGCCAGCTGGGTCCAGGCCTGGGCTTGGACCTTGTCCACTGCTCCGCATTCTGCCCAGCTCAGGACTCCCAGCCCGATCCTGCTCCTCAGTGGTGCCCATTCCACTCAGGTTAAGGCCCCGAGCACTTGAAGACACACCCAAAAAGTCACCTAAAGGAAGCAGGACCGCCAAGGGCATCTCATTCATGCCTCCAGGTGACACTGAGGGCTATATCGCTCCCTGTGGTCCTTCCCCAAAGGGCTTGAGAAACAGCCAGGTGTCATCCACACACCCAGCTGCCCCACAATCGTCCAAGGAAGCCGAGGCTCACAGATTAATGGAGAGAGAACAGCTTCAAGTTCCATAGTTCAAAGGGAAAATGTGCAATTGGATTTCTGGCCCAAGGAAGGGCCTGGTCCCACTCCATGCCACCCTTGCCCCGGGACGCACTGTCTTTGAAGGCCGGCACTGGTCCTCTCAGTGGGTTCCCTCACGGAGCCCTGCCATGTGAAGCTGGAAGCCTCTCGAGAGCCACAGAGTCCAAAGCTGCAAACAAGGCCCTGGGCAGATCCAGGCCCCAGGTGGCTCTTGTCTGGCTGCAGAGAGCTGAGTCCTCCCCGTTCCACGGGTCCCCATTTGCCCCCATGTCGCCCAGGAAACAGCCTTGCTTCCTGAAGAGCCTGTTGTCTGATGCTCCTCGTCTGGTTCAACTCTTCACTCTGTAGGGAAGGGAGGCGCAATTGGAGGAAAGGGGAGATAAAACCCAAGAGAGTGGGTTGGAGCCACGAAGGGGTTCCCCTGAACCTTGGGGAGGAGAGGGACCGGGTAGACTGCGATGCACAACGGAATCAGGAAGGGGTGACGCCTCTTGGGACCTCCCAGGAGGCCCCCTTTGGGCGGGCGGAGGCCAACTTCCAGTGAGTGTTCTCTCTGGGCCAGGACTCCATGCTGCGCTCACTGGTCTGTTTATTAATAATTACCTAATTGGGGAGGTGGGGGGCGGGGCTGGGAGAAGTGGCTTCCATCTTCCTGGGCTTGATAAACCCAAGTCACATTCCTGGGCCACCTCTAGAGCTGAGACGCCTGCACAGGGACCGCTCCAGGATCGACTGTGCCAGTGTGAGTAACCCTCTGAGGGCCACTGTGGAGACCCCAAAGGGAGGACGGGGGGTCACCAGACGTTCAGTGCCATGTTGACGTGAGAACATCCGAACCTGTGGAAAAAATGCATACACGTTTATTAGAATTTGTTTGAGCCAAACAGACATCTGGAAGCAAGATTTCAACAGACTGAGAAAAATGCTTCTGAGAACGATAGTTTGCATGTTCTTTTGTGCAAGGCTTGCTGAAGGCAAAGACAAACCTTTCCTAGAGAAGCTATATCCCTGGGACGTGACTGCCCACCATGACCTGCCCAGTCAGGAATTTATGGTCAAATCACCCTTACTTCCTGTCACTGGACTTGTCAGTTTTATTTTAGCACAGTTCTTTGTGCACAGTTAAAACTAGAACAGTCGTGGGAAAACTGGAACAATTGTTCAACCCTCCCTAGCGGTGACAAGTCGTAGAACTGGAAAGACCCCTGCACATGCACACCAGCCTCCTCCCTGCACCGTTGGGGCAACTAGTCCCCAGGCCCCGAAACAGCCCCCCCACCCAAGGCTGCTCACAACCTGGGACCAGGTCTTCCACCTCCTAATCCAGATGCTTTGGAGAGCTCCTGCCGAGGGGAATTCTGGGTAACCTCACTGTCAAGACACTGAGAAGCATTTGAGAGTTGGGGGCTGGAGAAGAAGTCAGTATGGGTTGCTAGAAAGTCATGTGGGGTGGTGGGGTAGTGAGCAGACGAACAAAGGGGTTCGGTGTGTGTTTTTAAACGACACTCCAACAGCGGTATGGAAAACAGACAGTAGAAAGGCTGGTGAGGGAGCTCCTGTAGGGGTCTGGGTGGGGGGTTGGCAAGCTATGGCCCGTGGGTCAAATCTGGCTCCACCCCCTATTTTTGTAGCACCTGTGAGCTAAGAACAGAAAGTATACTATAGAAATATAATAGTCACAAATAGTTGGGAAAAATCAGAAATAGGGCATTATTTTGCGACGTATCAAAAGCAAATGAAATTCAGACTTCAGTGCCCATAAGTCCATTTTACTGGAATGCAGCCATGACCGTGATGCATGTCTTGTCTGTGGCCAGTTTCCAGCTGGCACCGCAGCGCTGAGGAGATGCAACGGTGACTGTGTGGCCCACAAAGCCACAATGTTGCCTCTCTGGCTCCTTCCAGAAGAAGCTTCCCAATCCTTGTTCCGGGCAAAGGACACAGGAGCCCTGAGGGGGGGTCATGGCGGCAAAGGGCTGAGAGGCTGAAGGAGGAAGCTGTGAGATGGAGTGAGGCAGGGAGGGTGGAAGGCCAGGCAGCTGTCAGAGAGGACAACTGGGTTTGGGGGCCTCGGACCAGTAGCGGGAGGACACCAGACGGAGCAGAGCGGCTGCGGTGGCGAAAATCAAGCAAGCATCTGGTTTGGAACAGGCAGACCTCATTGGCAGAAAGAACACCGTGCCCTTGGCCAGATAATTTATCCAACAGCCTTGGTCTCATCTTGACGGAGGGATAGACTACCAGGTCCGCTGACTTCCTCCTGGGGAGGAGGGTTGTACAAAATAGCATAAAGGTGACTTTGTACACCGTAAAGCACGCCGTGGAGGTGTGTGGAGTAGATACTAACGTAACCGTTGGTGATCAGCACCCTTGGTGCACTGAGTCACTGGGCTGAGATGAGAAACCCATGTGGTAGAAGGCGCCCCAGGTGGAGAGCCCGGAGACATGTTCCAGCTCAGATAGGAACCTGTGGGTGCCGTGGCCAAGTCACTTTGGCAGCCTCTATGATCAATGCCATGCAGGGCTCAGAAGATGGTGGACACATGGAGTGTGCCAGAGAGTCACATTGTCGCCACACATGTGGAGGCTGCTGGGTGTTTGCTGGTCTGTCCTGCTTCCATCTGCAGGAGTTGATGGGGCCCTGCCCCCTGCCTGGCTTCTCAGTAGCGCTGGGTGTTCTGTGCAGGGAATTTCCTGGACACTGTCTTTCCCCTTGCAGACCCGAGATCACAGAGGATGCGCCTGGCCGACCACCTGCTCCTCCTCCTTGTTGGACTCCTGGCCTTTTCTCACGATGGCCAAGGTCATGCCGATGAGCACCAACAGGAGGATCCAGGCACAGGTGAGAGCTCCCCCAGCCTCGAGGTCGCCCCGAGCAATACAGACTTTGCCCTCCGCTTCTACCACCTGGTAGCTTCCCAGAGCCCCAAGAGCAATATCTTCTTCTCCCCGCTGAGCATTTCTGCTGCCTACGCCATGCTGTCCCTGGGGGCCCGCTCAGACACCGGGACCCAGATCCTCGAGAGCCTGGGCTTCAACCTCACGGAGGTGTCCGAGTCTGCCATCCACCAGGGCTTCCAGCACCTGCTGAGCACTCTTAGCATCCCGGACGACAAGCTGGAGACACGTGTGGGCAGCGCCCTGTTCCTGTGCCAGAACCTGCACCTCCTTCCGAGGTTCCTTAATGACACCCTAGGCTTCTATGGGTCTAAAGTCTTTCCCGTCGACTGCCTCGACCTCGAAGGCACAGCCCAGCTTATCAACAACCACGTCAAGGAGGAGACTCGAGGGAAGATTGACGACTTGGTCAGCAGGCTCAGCAGAGACGTAGTGATGGTGTTGGTGAATTACATTTACTTCAAGGGTAAGAGTCAATGTATCGGCACATCCCGTTTCCTCTCTCCCCCACTAATTTATTGGTGAATTCAATATTTTTAAGAAAAGAAAGTGGATGGATTGGGTCTGACAGTTTCAAATACTCCTTAGAAGATCTAACATTAGTGTCAGATACAGGGTCTGGCAGAAGTAACACCCGCTGGAATGTGGTTGGTAGGGTAATAATACAAGTATACTCATTTATAGTTTTGATTTGAACATGTCACCCAAAATGTCATATGGAGTGCTTGAGTGTGCTATTGTTATGTTACAGAATGACACACTTATGGTTTTGTAATAAAAGGTTCTGTAATAAAACAAGGGGCGTTATTTGTGCCTGACCCTGTATTTAAGATTGTATGATATTGAGGTTCCCTTCTCTTCATAGCTTTCCACATATTTTCTTATTTATTCTCTTAATAATAGCAGTTTATGAAATGCATTCTATCCAGTGATCATGACTTGAACTGCTACATTTATACTGAAGCTCTGCCATTTCCAACAGTGTAAACAGAGCAAGTTGTTTTCTTGAAGTAAGGATAATAAGAGTTGCTGTTTCAAAGTCTTGTTTTGAGGACCAAATTATGTCCCATGTTTGTATGCACCAAAGAAGAGGGGCCTAAAGAACACAGCAAACTACAGCCCCCAGTCAAATATGAGAGGTCACCTGTTTTTGTCAATAAAGTTTTATTGGCACACAGCCATGCCCACTCACTCATATATTGCTCTGGGCTCCTTTCACACACACACAGAGAAGCAATTGCTATAGAGACAGGCAAAGCCTAAAATATTTACTTTCTGGCCCTTTGCAAAGGAATTTTGCCTGACCCCTAATCATTATATACGTGGATACTCAAAACAAAAACCTACAGTAATTGTAATTACTCTAATGATAACGATGCTGATTAAAAACCTTTAAAAATACATAAAAGTATAAAAAAAGAAAATAAAAATTGCTTATAACTCTGTGACGCCGAGGCAGCCAGTGCTAGTATTTTGGCATAATTCTTTCCAGTCTTTGGTTCACACACATATATTAACACAGTTGAAATCGCAGTGTGAGGAGAGTTTTGTACAGTGGGTATTGGTCAGGGGTCCATCAGTGGCAGGAAGCCACCAGGAGTGTTAAGGAAATGCGGACGAGAATGAGACCTTGCATCACTGTGGAAGGGGCCGGGGAACTGAAGGTCTAGGGGAAGAGGAAGGCAGAGGGAGGGACAGAGAAATCACCCGTGCAGGTGACAAGTTAGAGCTTATCAGGAGTCTACAGACCAGGCACATCCAGCCACCAGAGGGGTCCCATTTTGAGGGAGCTTGTGGAGGGACTCATGCGGGGCACAGGGTGGTGGCTCGGGGACACTTCCCGTCAGCAGGGCTCGAGTCGGGACAACCAACTCAGAGGAGGGCGTGGGGGAGCTGGGGCCGCAGGGCTTCCCTGGGTCTGGTCATCTCCCAGCCTGCCCGCGAAGGCCTTCAGCGAGTGGCGGCTGCTCACGGCGGCCTCCCCGCTCTCGCTTGTAATCGGCCCGAACCAGAATGTGCAGAGAACAGGTTCTGGGAAACAAGCCCAGACTAACAATCCAGCCAAACTGGTCGTCACTCGCAGCGTACATGTGGGATTTTCCTGCACTGTGGAAAACGGTTTTTAAAAAAGAACCTTTTAAATTCTGCAAGAGCTGAAAATTCGTGGGAAGCTGCAAAAACAGCACAGAGTGCTCCCAGGCACCTTTCGCCCAGAGTCCCGGGGACAACATCTTGCATAACTGCAGGACGATAGCAGAACCTGGACGTTGGCGTTGGTGCAAGCTGCAGGCTTCACTCGGAGTTTGCTGGGCTTTTGCATGCACTCATGTGTGCATGCGCATGTGCATGCGTGTGCGTGCATGTGTGTGTGTGTGTGTGTCTGCGGTTTTATGCCATGGAAAACTTTATTTCGATCTCATGTTAGTGGCTGCACAATATCATACTGCCTCTAGTCCTTTTAAAACATAATTTAAATGGGCTGTGTACGCCACCCCCTCCCCCACCCAAAGCTCTGGCCAGAAAGAATGAAGATTTGGGGTGCTCTCTTCCTGAAAGAGACCTGGTTCCAACTGGGTTGGAGGCCTTGGCATAAGACAAAGGGGTTCTCCAGAAAGAGAAGGGAGGGGGACACGTGCCCGCACACTGGGGAGGTAAGCGCAGCCCCGAGACCTCCAGGTCGGCCCCGCGGAGAGGGCAGTGGGACGACTGTGGCTCATCTTCCTCGGCACAGAACCCCTGGGGGGATCCAAACCAGAGACGCACAGGGCCCCCGTCGATCAGGCGGTACTGAGAGAGAGTAACGTGACTTAAATAAAAAAACAGATGAACCACAGTCATGGAAAGGATGGTAAAGGTATCCCTTCTGCTCCCAATTAATCTAAACATTTAATGTGATCCCCATCAAAATGCTAACAGGTTCCTGCTCCTCTTGGGTGGCAGTGAGCAAGCTGATTTTAAAATGGATTTGAGAGCACACAGGGCCAAGAATAGCTAAGAGGGGAAAACTCGCCTACCTGAGAGCAAGATTTGTTATTACTCTATATTAAGGTAGACCATGTGGTACAAATAGGCCAATGGGACAGAGTAGAGGGAGGCCAGAAATGGCCCCAGGAATATATGGACGTTTGGTATTTGCCAAAGCTGGCACGAGGGAGCACTGGGGAAAGGATGGATTTAAAAACAAAAAATTGGCACTGGGACAGTTAGGTGCCCATATGGGAAAAACCATGGTTTGGGGTCTCTCCTCCCTGCCAATTGTAAATATTTACTCCAGGTCGAGTAAAGTCTTAAATGCACAAGGCAGGACTAAGGCTTCCAAAAGACAGTGTAGGAGAGCATCTTCATGAACGTGGGTGGGGAAAATTTTCCTAACCAAGAGTTCTCCTAATGGGAGACCTAACCCTAAAGGAAAACACCACTAGGCTCACTGCGTTCAAGGCTTTCAGTCACCAGCAAACAAGAGTGACAGTCAGCGAGGGAGAGAACGCATTTGCAACACACGTAACTGATGCGCAACTAGTATTCAGAAAGAACCCCTCAGATCACTAAGAAACAGCCCTATGGAAATACAGGTTTAAAAATAAATGAACTGGCACTGAACTAAAAACAAAGGATATCGAATTGGTTAGTAAGCACGAGGGCGGACTCAGCCCCCTTAGTAACCAAGAAAGTGCGCGTCAAAACCACAGGGAGCTTGCACTGTGCATGTGTCCGGTGGGCCTAAAGTAAGAAGTGCAATGATTTTAGGGAATTGGTGAAGACATGAAACCCCAGCTGATACCTCTGGGAGCTCCCCATTTCGATTCAAAATGAGCTCTGGGAGGTCCATTCCCAGGCACAGAAGGTGGTGAACGATCTAAACTGTGCACCCTGGGGCTGAGGCGCTGGGGAGGTGCGGGTCCGGGGCCCTGGGGGAGCTTCTCCCCCGCTGGAGGATTAGCTTGTTGGTCCCACAGCCTGTCTGCTCCTCCTTTCCTTCTTTCCCTTCAGGCCTGTGGGAAAAACCATTTAGCCGCTCGAAGGACTACACAGAAGATTTTTACGTGGATGAGAAAACGGTGGTCAAGGTGCCTATGATGTACCAGGACAAGCATCACCACTGGTACCTTCATGACAGATTCGTGCCCTGCTCGGTGCTCAGGATGGATTACAAAGGGAACGCCAGGGCCCTTTTCATCCTTCCGGACAAAGGGAAGGTGGAGCAGGTGGAAGAGGTTTTGACGCCAGAGATGATAGCCAGGTGGAACAACGTGCTCCAGAAGAGGTAATCCAGTGCCGCATGGCGCTGCGTGGGCGGCTCTGTCCTGCACACAGACCCTTCAGACACGAGCCCGGGTCCAAAACAGGGGGCGGTGCCAAGTCAGGAAAGAGTTCTCATTTGCTTTCAGACTTTCCAAGGCTTTCCTTAAGTCCCTATTTGCTGCGTCCCAAATAGGCCTTTGCCCTCCGCGGTGGAAGAGAAGGAGGCTAGGAGTTAAGAGCCCTAGTTTTAGCTGTAGCCCTTGAATGCACAAGCGTGGGGTGAAGTGACACCAGACCTTGCGGGGTCCACTCCTGCGCAACAGCTGCCCTTGGCATCAAGGGGCATCGAGGGTCACGGAGAACTCCGGCCTCTCACCCTGGCACATAGCAAGGAAGCCTCCCGTCACTCTGGGGCTATGAGTGGGTGGGAAAGTGTCCTACCAGCGTAAGGAAAGGACTGCCACCGGAGGCCGCATGTGGATGGAAAATTTTCCCAGTTCCTCTGGCACAGGAATGTGATCCAAAGAAATCATCTAGTCCCAAAGGAGTGGAAACCACAGGGCCCCAACAGAGGCGAAGGCAAGACTGCCCCCTGAGGGGGAGGGAGGCCCCAGAGACCGCAGTGCCTGGGCCAAAGGAGCCTGGCCTCAGGCCAGTGGGGATGCTGCGTGGAAGGACGGAATGAGCCAGCGGGGGCTCGTGGTGCCACTCGGGAGGAGCGGGCCCGGCCGGAGGGGGTGGCTCCGCCTGGCTGCCTCCCCCAGCTGGGGTGTGGGTCCAGCATTTGAACCCAAGGCCTCTTTCAGTTCTTTCTACAGGAAGCTCAAGTTGTACTTCCCCAAGTTCTCCATTTCTGGCTCCTATGACTTAGAGGAGATTTTGCCCAAGCTGGGCATCAGGGACCTGTTTTCAGGGAGTGCTGACCTGTCCGGCATCACCACACAGGGAAGCTTGCGGGTGTCCAACGTAAGTCTTCAGCGGCCCTTGACACCCAGGGGCCTCCGGGGGAACCTCTGCCCCTTGGGAGCTGCTGGGCCAGGGATGCTCCCCCGCCGCCACGCGGTCCCAGAGCCTGAGTGCATGCAGTCATCCACAGGCAGGCATGTGCGCGTATCAACCCCCCACATTGCTAAGGGTGGTGCTCGGTGCCAGGGACACAGTGTCCACCCGGCCCCTGTCCTCAGAGAGCACTCCCAGTCACCCTGGGGAGCCACGCCCTGGATCATGGCGACGGAGAGGAACAAATTCAGTGCCAGAAACAGGAAAGATACAGATGAGGCTGGGTTGGGTGCGTGGGTATCGGAGAGACTTCTTAGATGAGGGAAAGGGGCCTACGACTTCAGCTAAGTAAGACAGAAGGGCGCCAAAGGGCAGAGCCGCAGGGGGGGACAGTGAACTCCAGCTCTGCCTCCTGGGACATAAGAGAGTTACCCGTCCCTGGCTGTGTTTTCCTCACAGGGTGGTTTTGAAGATTAGAAAGAGCACCGGGGATAGAGTTAGTCCTCAGTTAATGATAGTTATCGTTACTGTATTCATAAGAGGTCAGCTCCCCCAGCCACCTAGCACAGGAATTCCTGCTGGGAGATCCCCAACAAGTAGCTTTGCAGAGACCGCAGGATTGCTCTCTGGGGACCTTGGGGTCCCCAGTTTCGCTTCAGCTCCCGCCTACATTCTCTCGGAAGTAACGCTCGTGATTTGCCTCCCAGAGTTTCCACAAGGCCATCCTGGAAGTGGATGAGGCGGGCACCCAGGCTGCCGCATCCACCACACTCACCACCGCCTTCCTATCCGTCCCCCGTGACCGCTACCTCCTTCGGTTCAACCGGCCCTTCTTCGTGGTGATCTTATCGACCGACACCCAGAGCATCCTCTTTCTGGGCAAGGTGGTCAACCCCAAGAAACTATAGCCCTCCCGGAGCCGCTGGTGGCAGGGGCGTGGCCAGGCGCAGCTCCACATCTAGGCTGGAGGGTGCAGAAGATGCCAAGAGTCCAGGCAGAAGCTGTTGGGGACAGGAGGGATGGGGTGGTTGGTACCAGATGAGTGTGGACTGGACGCTCAGCCCCCCAGGGCTGTGCGACCTCGGGACCACCGTGTAGCCTCTTTGAGGGAGTTTCCACGCCCAAGAGACAGAGAGACACCCTTCCAGGGTGGTGGTGTGAATTAAATGAACTGATGGCTATGAGGAGCCTGGTTTGGTGTCTGGTACGTGCGTAGCAAACGCTCAGTAAACGTCTGTGTTTCCCCTCCCCCGGGGTTGGCCCAGCATCCCTGGCATCCCTGGTCACAGGTGCAGGGGTGAGGCACTCGGGGTCCAGGGGGGTGGCGAGGCATCTGTGGAAGAAGGAGACGGCGTGGGCAGCCAGCCACCCCAAGCGGGGCGGGCACCTTGCTCCGGAGTGGGGGCTCAGCAGGCCTGGCAGGGAGAAAACCAACCAAGGGACCGCCACAGCGACCTTGTCAGGAAGGCTGCCCCTGCCTGTGGCCGTGGAGATGCAGCCAGTCTCTCCCCCAGAGCAGGTGACCGCGGTCATGGGATGCATCACAGGAGGAAAGGCATGGCATTAGGGTCTAGAGGCCCATTTTCACATTCTGTTCTGCCACCGATGGGCCCTGGGGCCTCGGGCAAATCCCTTCCACTTCCGGGCCTCAGTTTCCCCATCTGAACCCCTCCCACAGAAGGAGGCAGGCCGGCAGCACCCGGCCGGGTTTGTCCCAAGCCTCAGTAATTTCCGGCAAATACATTTCTCTGGTCAGAGTGCTGCGGGCCATCTTGACAGCCAGCGCGTCCGAGATAGGAGATCTGGCCTCGCTGACCTGGAGTTTTCACTGGTGACTAAGGAGAGCAGGCTGAGAGCCACCGCCAGCACTGACGGTTGTTCAAGTCGCAATATCCCGGGGCATGTGCGGCATGGTCTCTGGCCCAAAGAGTGCCACACCTTTCAGAATAGGCTCTTTGTGGGAATCCAGTATCCACAACAAGAGACAGACCACTTCTTCATGGCGTAAAGAGGACAGAGGAGGGGGGGCGCTGGGGTTCTCTCCCGCCCTACCTCTGAAAGTCAGCCCTGAGCCGGGCAGGACAGCTTCCAGAAATGTGGACCAAGGAAAGTCCCCCAGTGAGGCCATGGCTCAGCAGGACCATCCCCACACCAGCTCCGGGCTGCAGGGACAAAGGGCAAGAAATGCTTCAAGACCCCTGGCCTCCTAAGCCTCAAAGGAACACACACCCTTCTTCCCACCCGCCCCCGCTCCCCTCAGATTTATTGGCTGAAGAGCAAGAGTCCTGCTGAGAATCCAGGCCCTTTCCTCCTGCGCCCCCTGGGGAGTTGGATTCTGTTTTTTAACAGCCAGGCGAGAAATAAAGTCAGGCTGACTCACTCCCAACTTTGCCCGACAGGGACAGGTGGGTGGGTGGGCTCAAGGGTCTCAGATGAGCCAGAAAGATGCCACAGGCCTAGGGTTACTGTGGCAATGTCACCGATGGGATGAAGGAGGGGAGAAAATGGGGGAACAGTCACCCTATGCTCAGCCTCGAGAGTGCTGCCTGCCTATCCTGGCTGGGCTCATCCCTCTCCTGTTCAGAAGCCCTCAAGGCTCCCTGTGGCCTGCAAGATGAAGTGCAAGCTCCTCTGTCTGAAGTCACGGCCTCCCGGATCTGCTCCGTGCCCGCCTCTCCTGCCTCCTGTATCCGGTGACTTCAGTCATGGAAAGTCCTGCTCTTTTCCCAGGAAGCCCTTAGCTTCTGAGCTCCTGACCTTTGCTCCTGCAGGTCCCCATTACCCAGCATGCTCCCTTCCCTCTCTGAGAATCTGCATTCTGCCAGGATCTCCCATGAACGCCTCATCTCTTCCCTAAGGAAAACTGTCACTCTACCTCCTACCATCAAACATGGTTGGCTGCCATTAATCTCTGCCTCGACTCCTCGGGCCCTGCTTAGACTGAGTATCTTGGTGTATTGGGACAACGCTCTAACAGACTGAGCTACCCAGCCAGGGCCTGTTAGACAGAATAGCTTGAAGACTAAGCGCTGTCCACCCAGTACCTGGTCCCAGCCCTGATGGACGTGGCTGCGGCCCAACGAGTATTTAGAGAATAAATGAATGAATGAGTGAGTGAATGAATGAATGAGTGAGTGAATGGCGAAGGCTGTGTGCTGGGCAAGGTCCCGGAGCTATTTGCTCCACGTTGCCCCTGACGGGTCGCTGGAATTGATCAAGTAAATATTTAGTCCTGCTTCTCAGGTTTCAAAATGCCCCTTTGGAACATTGGGAAATGGCTTCATGCAGGCCTCTTGTACCCCAACGGCAGGCCCTGAGCTTCCTCCTCTTCCCGCTTGCTGCTCTCCCACAGGGTCTCCTACATGGGCGGCCTGGCGATGCCCCTTGGGAGGTGCACTGGTTCGGGACCGGCATTCAGTGTTCAGAGGGGCCGTGGGTGTTTGTGGCTTCAGAAGTTCTCGGCCCGTAGGAAGACACAGGCTTCCTGCCTCTGGCCTGGGACGCAGAGGGTGGCAGCGGGAGGGCCGTGAGCGCTGGTGGGTGGCCTGGGGGTCCCCAGCTGCCAGCGGAGGGGACAGAGACCGCACGTCCCTCATCAGTGGGTGTGTGGAGACACATCATGGGTTCATTCAGTTGTTTGTTCTCTTGTTCACCCAACAGTTACCAGTGGGGTCGGCCCCTCACCAGGAAGCTTGAGGGGTCCCCCCGCTAGGGGGCCCCCCTGCTGGAGGGGAAGCACTTCAGTTTTGGAGGGAGACGGGGAGGGCTGCAGGTCCAGCGTCTCCACTAACCTTGTGCTGGGGGGCAGGCACTTGATGTCCCAGGACCTCAAGTTTGTCCCCTGTAAGTGGGCACCGAGTCCACAGCCGCGGTAGCAGTCAGGGGGTAAGCGGACCTGGTCCTGTGAGGGCGGCCGGTGCTGGGCTGGGAAAGCCTCCACAAAGAGAAGAAAGTGAGGAGAATAAAGTTTTCCTTCGCTCTCCAAGAAAGGAGAGGGGCCTGGCGCGGAGAGACACACCAGCCCTGAGAGGTGGGGGCTTTGAGCTTCTGTTGGGTAATAAGTGGATTAAAAAGGGGAAGATGCTGTTGTGTGGCCCATGGGCTGTTGTAACACGAGGCTGCAGTTTGTTCCAATGTCATCTTCCGCGTGTGGCTGTAGGGAACGGTTTGTTCTGTTCTTGTTTTCCAGTGATTTCAGTCCTGGGGACGTAAGCTCAGAAGAATAAAATGGCAGTTTAACGAGGTCAGAAGCCTGCTAGGCAAATGGTGCCACATACAAATGGGGCTGGCTTTGTCCTGTCAGACCCCCTGGAGAAACAGACCTGCCTCTGACAGACCGTGGCAGACTGAGGTCTGGACGCAGCCCGGTCCGCCCACCCCTGGCCGCCCAGGGAGGCAGGGCACCCTCCTCTGAGAAGGGCAGGTCCAGGGTGAATAGCTGTCGTGCTCTAAGCCCCCGCAGTGAGCACTGCCTGGTGGTGACTAGTGTTCCCAGAGTCATCAAGAGACCACAGAGAACTGAGGACAGAACCTGGGTTTTGGAGCCAGAATGCCCAGGTGTGAATCTGGACCCCTCCAATTACTGAGTGTGTTAGTTTCTGAGGGCAGCTGTGATGAAGGGCCACAAACTGAGTGGTCTAACAAGCAGAAATGTGTTGTCCCACAGTCTCGGAGGCCAGAAGTCCAAGTGTAACGGGGCACAGCCGGGGCCCCCCAAAGGGTATTTTTAACGGGGTCCAGAGATTGGGGAGTCCAAGAAAAATATATTCTCCCCACCCCAGGGCAGGCCGTCATGGGGGGGGGAGCCTTGAGCAGGGCCACTGAGAGTCATTCTGCATGTCAATAACAGGAGAGCTTCATTCCTCATTTGCAAAATGAGTTATTTTGCCTATCACCAAAGCTAATCAGGAAGGTTAAAAAAGACTGAATACAGAATGTAACTGGGAGAGATTAGGAGAGACAGGGGCCTGCAGGAGAGACAAAGGGACACAGACTCTGGGGAACAGTGCGAAGACCACGAAGACCACGTGGGAAGAAAGAGGGGAGAGAGGACTCTTGCTAGTGGGCCATAAGAAGGTGCCACGTGATTATGGATTAAGAACCGGAGATCGAGGCGACGCAGCGGGTGGTGCTGAGACCCGTGAGAGGCCTGCCGAACGGAGCCCCGGACTTCTGTTCTTTTTCTTCTGAAGGACGTTACCTCTGACTGGCCTGACTGGCCTGACTGGCCTGACTGGGCAAAGGGGGGAAGGCAGGACAGTGTGTGTGCTGGTGATTATTTTAAGGGGATTTTGAGGTTTAAGAGTGACATTTAGCCATTAATCAAATCTGTATAACTTTTGAATAAATAGTTCCTTTCTTTTTCACCAGACTCTGCCATTCAGAGCCATAATTCCAAGGGCGGTGGGCAAAGGACCCACAACCGAGGGACCTCAGGGAAGGGGGGTGTCGTTTCAGTAACAGCTTCTAGGGCACCCCCCGCCCCGCCCCGTACAGGTCCCTTTGTTCGGTAACACAAGGCCAAGGTGTCAGCAGGGCCGACCCTTCTGAGGCGGAGGGAGGACCCATCCAGGCTGCTCCCCGAGCTCCTGGGGGCTCGCCGGGACCCTTGGCTTCCATGGCCATAGATGTCTGCCTTTGTCTCACGTGGAACTATGTCTCACGTTCTCCTGAGTGCGTGTCTCTGTCCACGGATCCCCTTTTTATAAGGACGCCAGTCCTATTATTGGATCAGAGGCCCACCCTACTCTAGAACAACCTCCTCTTAACTAATTCTGTCTGCAGTCACCCCATTTCCAAATGAGGTCACCTTCTGAGGTCCTAGGATTAAGGCTTCAATTTGGGGCCCTCCGTTCCGTCCCCTGCGAAATGGAGGTGGTAGTCATACCTACGCATAACCTGGTGGGGATGGCGCTCTTCGCTGCTCTTGATGTCGATGGAAAAATAAACCTACCTGGTCCATTTCATTCCCATATTCTGACCCCTGGCCCATCCTGCCCTCTCACCCTGGACTGCATTATATCTCCCCCCAAAATGTGCGCCGTGAAGTCCAGACCCCACCATGTGACTGTGTTTGGCAGCAGGGACTTTAGGGAAGTAAATAAAGTTAAACGAGGTTATAAGGGGCCCTGATCCTACAGGGTTGGTGTCCTTATAAGGACAGACACAAGAGCTCGCTTCTTCTTCGCCTCTCTCTCTCTCCTCCTCTCTCCCCGAGGTAGGAACAAAGAAGTCATGTGAGAACGTGGCAAGAAGTTCCACCTACAGCCCTGAGGGACAGGTCTCACCAGAAACCCACCCTGACACCCCCTCGGTCTTGAACTTCCAGCCTCCGAAACTGCGAGAAACAAATTCCTCCGGTTCAGCCTGGCGGACAGAGCGCGAAGTGAAATGTGGTCACTGTGGTCCAGCTGCTAACTCTCCAAAGCCAGGCGGGCTGTGGCGTGAGGAAGGCTCCATGCTGGTTTTCACTCGCCTGGAAATGCGCCCTTTTAAACACTCCGTCCTGCGTCGGTACCTGGGTAAACATCACATGCCCAGGCAACCCTCTGAGGGCCCCTGGAAGGGCTAAGGGAGGAAGTTCATGGCCCAGACCGCCTGGCGTCCGGGGCCGGGCTGCCGGCCGTCTCGGAGCCATCCAGGGGCTGACTGGACAGGACTGATTCTTCTCAAGGATGTACTTTTTGCTATAAAAACTCTCACCTCTTCCTTCTTCAGAACACTCTGGGCATTGCCTAGTGTGCTTGCAGTTTGCAACCTGAAGACGCCTGAATACATCTTTACCGTCTATTTCTAGCCAAAGCCTCCAGACGCTTGTGGAGTTTGTCCCACTGGCACCCAATCTGTGGCAGTGGCCGTCCTAGCCACAGAGGGTACTGTGCCCTGAGAAGCCCTCCAGGCCACCCCTTCCAAACTTCCCCATCCTCTGCCCCCTTTCCTTCGGGAGCTTTTCTAAGTACAATGGGAAGTCCGGGGTTGCCTCAGATATTCCCCAAGTTCTCAAGACATTCCTTAAAATGCAAGCTTGGCAAATAGTCCGCGGGCTGTGGCCACGAACAGCACACATAGGCGGGCAGAAGTCCTTCGGTATCTTGATTACCATCTTTCCCAAGCAGTACTGTCTGAATCGCATTCTGGGTATTGAACTAGTCTCCTGCGGCTGCGGTAATAAATTATTTCTAGCCAAAGTGCTCAAAATGATACAAATTTATTCTCTTGCTCTACTGGCCGGCCCACCATCAGGAAATTGGCAGTACTCCCTTCCGGAGTTCCTGGGGCCATAGCCCCACCCACGTCACCTTGCGTTTCTTCCTCTTTCCCTGGTCGTGATGCTGACACCGAGCTCCCACCTCTCTCTCATAGGGACCCTTGTGATTACATTTAGGACTCACCTAAGTAATTCATGATATCCCTCAGTTTCAAGACCCTTAATTTAATTACACCCGCAAAGTCCCTTCCGTCAGCACTTGCAGGTCTGGGTTGTTGGGAATGCCCGCACCCGCCTCCCAGCTCACTGCGAGCGCAAAGCAGGCCTCCACGTCTGGTGGTGACTGTGTCTCCAGATTAAGGCACGGCTCAAGACCCACTTTGTTAGATTGTTGTGAGGATTAAAAGAGAAAATGGGCCATAAATGGGAAAGGAGAGGGAATGTCTCCGAGGCTGTAGAAGAACCCTGTTTGCTGAGCGCCAAGACTACTTCCCCCCGGTAATGCCTGGCCCTCTGTCTCCTCCGCCAACACCTGCACCCTCATGACCTCCGCCACACACAGCGCACCCCAGTATCAGGAAGCCCCAGGTGGGGGCACCTTGGGACTAAAACAAGGGCTGAGCCAGCACCAGCTTCTTGGAAGTATTCTTGGGAGTGTGGGGCTGAGTTCAGGAGCTCCGGTTCAGGTAAGTAAGGACAGCTCAGCTGGGACCACAGAGACCGTGGAGATGGCCCTTTGCTAAGCAAGGAGCGCTGGCCTGAACGCCGGCAGCCTGGACACTGGGACCCACGCTGTCCCTACTTTGATGCACAACTCTGAAAAGTCCCTTCATGTGTCTGAGCCTCTGCTCAGTTGCTGGGGCAATAAGTGGGGGTTGGTGGAAGGGCCCCTTCATCTCAGTCATCGTGAGACTCTGAATCCCTCTTATTTCCACCCGAATCTGGCGGCGGGTCCAAGACCACAGGGAGCACAGAGTCTCACGCGCCGCTTGCCCAGACCTACAGTGAAGGGAGGCAAAGTTTTGCCATCATCAAGCTGCCTTTGGGGATATTGATTTTAAGTTGCTTATTGTATATTATTAATAAATCAATGAACAACAAGGTTGGTGAGGATGTGGGGAGATAATCCCACCCTCGTGCACTGTTGGTGGGATTGTAAATTGGTGCAGCCACTTTGGAAAACAGTATGGAGGTTCCTCAAAAAAAATTAAAAGTGGAACTCCTTTATGATCCAGCGATTTCACTTCTGGGTATACACCCAAAGAAGTCCAAAACATTAATTCAAAAAAATATATACACCCCTATGTTCACTGCAGCGTTATTTATAATAACCAAGATATGGAAACAACCCAAGTGTCCATAAAACGTGGATAAAAAGGCTGTGGTACATGTATCCAATGGAATATTACTTGGCCATAAAAAAGAAGGAAATTCTACCATTTGCAACAACATGGATGGACCTGGAGGGTATGATGTTAAGTGAAATAAGTCAGTCAGGAAAAGACAAATACCACATGATTTCAGTTATAGATGAAACCTAAAGAAAAATATAAACAAACAAAACGGACACAGACTCACTGATGCAGAGAACAGATTGATGGTTTCCAGAGACAAGGGTTGGGGGGCTGGGTGAAAGAGGCAAAGGGGTTGAGAAGTACAGATTGGAAGTTACAAGACAGTCATGGGGATGTAAAGTACCGCATAGGAAATACAGTCAATAATATTGTAATAACCACGTACGGTGCCAGGCGCGTCCTGCACATACTGGGGGGAACACTCCGTGGAGTTTGTGCTTGTCTAACCACTATGCTGTGCACCTGGAACTAATACAAAATAATTTAAAAAGAGAAAGAAAGAAAGAAACCGGACTCAGTAAGAAACCTTGACCCTTCCCCCTTTTCCTGCCCAAAAGGTTCAGCCAGAGACGCCTGTTTCGGGAAGGAGATCTTAGGATGTTTGCTGCAGTGAACGTAGGGGTGGGTGTGTTTTTCCGCCTAGTTTGAACGGTGTGGTAAGCGGGAGGGCTGCGGGCAGGGGCCCGTGAGCTGGATGCCCCCTGTGCCCACTGTTTCTGAGTCCCCATCCATCCACACTTCTGAACCCTAACATCCTTGCCCCCCTTCTCCTTTGTCCATAATGCCGTACACACCCAATGTTGCCTCAGTGTCTTCGGAATTTTCCTGTTTATATGAATTCCCCACACGAGTGTATTAAAACTTAATTTTCTCCTGTTAATCTGGGAACGGTGCCCCCTTCCCTGCATCTGGAATGCTAGCAGCTGGCTGCCTGTTTAGCCTCTTCTCTCAAGAGTTCCCACGCCTTTGTGGGCAAAGGGTGGTGGGTGCGGGGTGTCGCCAAAATAGCCGAAGCTGTCCCTTTAAATACCACCTTCAGCTAAAGACAAAAGAAAGTGCCGGGGTGAGGGGAGTTCGTCATGGGTGGTGACTGGGAAAACCACAGTAGATGAGGGTGACGTTGTTCCGCAGTTCGAAGACCAGGCCTTCTCTGTTGACAGTGAAGGCAGACCGGGTGCCTTTACAAATGGAGGTTTCCCTCACAACGGGAAGTGTCCTTTTGTTACCCTAGGTAATTATCTAGTTATTATTGAGAAAGAGAGCAAAGGGAAGGAGGCTTTCAGCTTATAAACTGGGGAGCATGAGCCTGTTTGCTTCACCAGGAAGCTGCAGCTTCACACCCAGGGCGTCATAACATTGCTCTGCCGGGGGACACTCCCCACTTCCCCCTCTGGTACAGGATTGTTGAGGGGCGGGAGGTGCTGGACCACACAGCCCTGTCAGTCTCACTAGGGGGTGGACCTATCAAAAGCCCAGGAAAGCTTGGGAAGTTGATTGGTTTTTTTAAAAAAGCACCTGGTCCGTCCCAAACCCAAAGCTAACATAGGCCCAGGGGAACAAAGAAGCTCTCTCTCTCTCTCTCTCTCTCTCACTCAGTGACCAGTACTTGTCCTGTTTGTTCCTACATTATCTCCCGCCCGGGAACAAATACAGCTGTGGGTCTACCAGCAGTGGGTCTGCAGAGGCCGTGTGGGCTCTGAAGGGCTAAGCTTTAGCAGGAAGCGGGAACTCTGGACACCGACTTCTGCTTTGGCCTTGCTGAGGACAACGTTGGACTTTTTCCATGGTGGGACAGACGGAGGGGGGACATTAGAAACCCAGGGACAGATTTCCACCTGAATAACCTCCTACACGGGGGTCCGTGAAATACATTTCTTGCAATCTGGTGGAAGATTTCCACCTGCACCACTTTTACAAACTGGGTTTCAGAGCTTCTCCCTTGCAGCTGTTTCTTAAAATTAACCAAACTGAAACAATCAATATCTCCAAAGAGGCATATTTGGACGCGGCAAACTCTGCTCCCCTTCAGGGGCTTGCAGGCCTGTGGGTGGGTGACCCTGGTCAGGGCTCCCCTGGCTTTGCCACAAACCTGACTGCTGCCTGGAAGCCTGCAGGACAGGACAGGGCAGGGCTGGTGGGCGGGGCCTGCGCGGGGCCTGGGCGGGGCCTGGGCGGGGCGGAGTCACAGCCGCGCGGAGGTCAGTGACTAGAGCTGGCTCCGCTCCAGCCAGACCTGCCCGCCGTCCAGAGCCCACAGCCCGTCGCCTCCACTGTGCGCACACTTGGCCACGGGACAGAGTAAGTACAGACACTGCACACTGAGGGCCCGAGGGACGTGTGAGGAGGGTCAAGAAACGGACTCTGGAGGTATGGGGTTTGGAGGGCTTAACCGCGCTGGAGGTGTCCCAGAGCAAGCAGGAAAAACTCCACCGTGTTGGGGAAGGGCTCGGGCCTCTGAGGCAGCAGAGGTGACCTTGGGCACCACGCGAAACCTGGCCGAGCCTCAGTTTCTTTTCAGGTCCGATGCAGCTGACCTTACCCTCCGGATGGGTGACCAGGATGGCTCTCGCCCAGGCACGATTTTTATCCCCAGGGCACATCTGGCCTCTCCTGGAGATGTTTAGTTGTCACAATGGGGGTGGAGGGGAGGGTGGCTGCTGTTGGCATCCAATGAGTGGAGACCAAGGAGGCTGCCCAACATCCTGCAAGGCTCGGGACAGCACCAGCCCCCCACCACCCCCGCCCACGACAAAGAATGATTCAGCTCCAAACATGCCACCCGGGCTGAGGTTGAGAGACCCCGAAATAAGGTAGTGGGGACAAGTCCCGGGTGCACAGGAGGTGCTCGGTAAATCTGACTTGTACTGTGTTCCGTGCCTGGAATCTCTAACCTTTAGAAAGCAGGACAAATAATCAAATATCATCTGTTTCCCTGAGATAAGGCCTCCCTGCCCGGAGGCTGCCACCCGGCTTGTGCCGGGCTGGCCACTGTGGGAGCGCCCGGGCCTCGTGGCCATTTGTTAAGTAAACAAAACAGAGACATACAATGGGTGGGGCTTTTAGTTTTTCAAAGGATGGGGCTGTTGGCAAGAAATGCAGCCGTAAAAAAGGCACTGCTCCCCTGGGCCCACACCCTCGTTCCCCCACCAAGACTCCGCGGCCTGACGAATAACACGGGTGCGGGGAGGGAGCTCTGGGGGCTGACGCGCGGCAGCCGTGGTGATGGTTTCGCGGGCGTGTACTTCTCACCAACCTCAGCAAGTTGTACACATCCCAGCTGTAAGCCTTTTGGCATCCCTACCTTCACGAAGTGGTTTTTAAAAAGAAGAAAGAAAGGAAACAGAAGCAGGGCAGTGGTGGGGGCGTTATTCCAGGTCACCTGGCAAGTGAGCCCCAAGGCCGCCAGAGCTCAGCTCTGGACGCCCAGCCTGGCTCCGTTGTCCACCGCTTGCGTCAGGGGGTGGCCGGACGCCTCTGAATCAGAGAACGGGATGGGTTCATTCATTCGCTCACTCACTCGTTCGTGGCCCAGAGGGGCCTGCCCTGCCCTGGCCTGCGTGGGCAGCGCAGGTGAGGGGCCTTTCCGCTGTGAGCACCTCGTCTAGTGGCAGGGAGCGGTCAGAACAAAAGAGGCCACCCACAGATGCACATGCAACTGCACTTCTATCATCACCTGAGAGATGAGAGAATCGGTGAAGAAAGAGGCCGTTATACAGAGGCCTGAGGGCCCTGGGGAAGCTGGCTCTCGGGAGAAAGGCAGAGAGAGGTCTCCATCTGCGAGCGGGGTGTGCAAGGGCCCAGGGCTGGGATGGGCTTGCTGTGCCTGAGGAAGTAAATAAAGATGTGTGCCCGGAGGACACACGCCAGCGAGGGCAGAGCAGGTCACGCTGAGGCTGGGGAGAGCCGGGCGGAGCCAGGCTGCATGCGGCCTTGCGGGCTGGTGCACAAATTAGAGTTAAACTTTACCCCAAATGAACGGGGAGCGATGGCGTTCTTAGGCACGGGAGTATGGTGACCTTGTCTGTGACGGAAGGAGGCTCAGATGCTGTGTCCAATGAAGGCTCGTGGGGACAGGAGAAGTGGGGTAGGCCAGGCAAAAAAAAAAAAAAATGGAAGGGGCTTCCATGAAGATGGTGGCAGGAACAATGGGGAGAAGCAGGCAGATTTAAGACACTTTGGAACTAGAAACTGATAAGCCTTGCTGTTGGTTTGCAGATGGGAGGGAGGCTTGGAACGTCCCCTAGGTCACTACTGTCAGGAAACTCTGTGCCCTGGGTCCTGAAGACCCAAGGGAAGTTGGGATTCTCTCCTTCCATCTCTCCCTGGGCCCTGATTAGCAGATTACAGACAGATTCTTCTCAGGCCCACACCTCTCTCAGCTGAGGCCCAAACTGACCTGGGCGGGGCCTTGTTGCCTACCATTGGGAATTAACACCAGCAGATTTGGGGGCCAAGGATGCTGGGCGATCAGTGGACGAACTGCCCAGGCTCTGCCCACCTCCAGCTTCCTCGGGTCACTGTGGCCTGGGATGTCACAGGCCTGGGGTGTCACAGGAGCTTTGTGACTCTGCTGTCTTCCGTCTGACATGCAGGCACACTTCTGCAGAAACACTGGCATCGGGCACTGCGGACAGAGTCAGCCAGGCCAGGCCCTGCGGGCCCCCTGGGTGCCGGCCTCCCGAGGACTGGGCCCACCCCTGGCTCGGAGCTGGCACAGAACTGTCAGAGCTGGGAATTGCCGCCAGAGGCCAGAAGTGTGACGGCAAAGCCTGGGCTCTGAACCCAGGACACCTGGAATGAGTCCTGTGAGGCGTCCCCGTTCTGGGGGAGGGGCTTCTCTGACCCTCTGTTTCCCCTTCTGTACAATTATGATCACGCGACCAGCTCTATGTCGCTGTGGAGGACTGTGAATAAGCTAATAAAGGTGAACGGCTCGGGAGAGACCCCGGAGTATGCACCAGGAGCTGCCGGGGACGGGAGCGTGTGTCGGGAGTCATTTCTCGGGGCCGTGAAGGGACAAGTCAGCGGAATCTGAACTTTAATCCAGTGCCACCACTCACTGGCTGGGGCAAGCAAGTCCATTTTGCTGGGCTTCAGTTTGTTCATCTGTAAAACGAGGTTAACAATGCTCCCTTTTGGTGAAGGTTATGTGTAGTAATATTTATCGCGTGCCTTAGTAGGTTCTGGATAAATAGTGGCTTTAATAAAAGAAAGAGGATGGAGCCAGGGGAGCCTGAGTGAGGTGGGGCCTCTCCAAGGAGACCCTGCTCTTCAGGGAGACCCAGGGGGCTCTTAAGGAAGTGCTTGGGAGGTGGGGACAGTGGTAGGGAGGAGTGGTAGGGACAGTGATGGACCTGCAGTTGCTTAGGAACAAACTGAGGCTGGGAGAGGGGACCCGCCGCCCCAAGGCCACCAGATGGGAGGGTGGGAGGATGAGAGGTCAGAAGGTTCCCTCCTGCCGCATCCAAGCAGGAAACTCCCTCTGCATCTGTAGCTTTTCTTTGAAAGCCTTTCTTTCAGGGCGCTTGCCAGCTTGGTGCTAATCAGCAGGGGTGAGGGTGTTGAGCTTAACTGTTTCTTCAGCAGCAGCCTGCTGCACTGATCGTTCTCACACTCGGCGGGGGCGGGGGGGGGGGGCGCGGGGGGGGGGAGGCAACTCCTGGGAACCACAGGGAGAGTTGGCATGGGAAGGCCACATGGTGTCTCTTACTTATCTGCTGATTAGGGGCTGTCCTTGCGCAGAATACCTGGAACACAAAATCGGGAGGCTGTAACGCAGCAATGGAGGACTGGGGATCTGGGGCGGAGGACTGGGGGTCCAGGGAGGAGGATTCGGGGTCTGGGGCAGCCATATGGTAAGGCCGTTTAGAGTGTGGGCTTTCAAAATCAGAACTGGGTCAGAGCCCAAGCTTTGCCCCTATTAGCAAGGGACCCCCCCTCTCTGAGCCTCGGATTCCCCATCTGTAAAATGGGGCTAGTGGTAGCCCCTCCCTCCGTGGGTGGGCGTGGAGCTGAAGGAGACGATACCCGTGAGGGCCACGTGGCTTCTAACGGTGGGTGCAGGCCTTGTGCCGGGCCCTGCACGGTGTGGGGATGGCGTTCTGGGTAGTCTGAGGTTTTGCAGACAAATGTGCCTCCTTTGTGAGCTGAGGTACACCTTGGAGGCCAGGGCCTGTCAGGGTGGCCTGCTGAGTGGCTCAGTTTGGCTCAAAGACAGGACTGCAGCCCAATTCGGCCTGACTCTCAAGCTCTTTGGATTTCTATGCCCGCCCCCCACCGCCACTTTCCTCCCCCATCCACTCCTCAGCCTCACTCATGGGGGGCTGCTCTGCAAGCAAAGTCCACTGCAGCTCTTGGGGGCCCTTGGAGCTGGGTTTAGCATGGGTCACGTGACCCTAGGAGCGCTCGCCCTGGGGCCGGGGGCCTGCCGACTTGGTGTCCATGGGTGGGCGGGGGCCGGGGGGAGGGGGCGGGTTCCCAGCTGAAGGGAATTCACTTTCATCAGACCCACGGGCAACGTGGGCATCATTTGCTTGACCGCTGCCAGGCTCGCCTGAGAGTGCGTGTGAGAGCATGTCCCCCACGGCCTCGCTGGGGCAGCGGGGACTCTGGCGGGGCTCTGGCCGGATGCTGCCACACCACCAGCTCACACACCTAAGGCACCAGGTCGGTGCCGAGCCCCTCGCTCGTGTTGACTCATTCACGGAGACAGGGACTGGCTGGCAGCAGTCACCCTGATGACTCTCAGGAGCCTGTCACCTTGCCCCTCCCAGACTAGATGCTCCAGAAATAGCTGCGGAATGGACAAGGACAAATCTGGACGTGCTGCGAGCCCCTCGGGGGGCAGTGGGTCTGAGAACAACCAGGAGGCCTTGCACATGCACCAGGGGCTGACGTGAGGGTCAGAGGTCACGTATGGAAGCAGGCTGCTGGCTCCCCGGGAACCTCAGAGGTGTTGACCAGGCAGAACGGGGAGAACTCTCCGTCCCATGTCTCATCGCCCTGTAGCGCGTCCCTTTCTGTGAACGAGAAGGGGAGAGTCTCGCCCTCGTGGCCAGGCCCCGCCTCAGGTCCACACCCCTCTGCCTTCCTCTTGCCCCTGCCATTAGAGGTCCATCCGTTCTCTCTGATGCTGCACCTTGGGTGGTGACGTTCCTCTGGGAGGTCGGCCCTTGCACCCTTCCGCCCGATCTTTCCTCTGAGAAGCCCCGCTGGCCGCACAGCCTCCTGAGCACACCTTCTCACTCTCCCTTCCAGAGCCAGGGCGTCGCCATGCAGCCGGGCCTCCTCTTCTGCCTGCTGCTGCTCAGCCTGCAGGCGGCCGGCCTCCCCCAGCACCAGCAGCCCCGGAGGACAAAGAAGAGAGTCAGGGAGCTGCCCATCGCCAGCACAGCGGCCCCCAGTAGCCAAAACTTCACCTTTGACCTCTACAGGGCCTTGGCGGCAGCCGGCCCCAACCAGAACATCTTCTTCTCTCCTCTGAGCATCTCCATGACCCTCGCCCTGATCTCCCTGGGGGCTCGGTCCCACACGAAGGCCCAGATCCTGGAGGGCCTGGGCCTCACTGTCCAGGGGGCCCCCGAGGAGGCGGCGCTCCACAGAGGCTTTCACCACCTGCTGCAGGCGTTCCGCCAGCCCAGAGAGGACCTCCAGCTGAGCCTTGGCAACGCCCTGTTTGTCGAGCCCACGGTGCCCGTCCAGGACACCTTCCTGAGTGCCGTGAAGACGCTGTACCTGGCAGACACTTTTCTCACCAACTTCAGTGAACCTGAAGTAGCCAAGAAGCAGATCAATGATTATGTGGCCCAGCAGACTGGAGGCAAGATTGTGGACTTGGTTAGCGAACTCGACAGCTCTGAGATCATGGTTATGGTGAATTACATTTTCTTTAAAGGTAAGACTCTTGGGCTTGAACCTGAACTTCCTCTTTCTTTCCAGCTGCTTTTGTTAAAGGAAGAGTCAATTCCCATAGACATGAAGGTGTGGGAATAGATTTAGTCTTTCCTGGTGCCTGTTGATAGAGGGAAGCCAACAGCAGCCACGGGTAAGAGGGTGACTTCTTACTGTGTAAGGGGGTGTTCATAACCCCAGCACAGTTTTCTCTGCTGAGGAAGAGCTGTTTCCTGTCTCTGGGCCCGGGGGAACCTGTGAAGTCGCCACTTAACGGGGGTTCTCAGGCATGAGCTGGTCATGGCCATTGTGTGAAGAAACCGACGCCGTGGCTACTCAGGGCAGGACTGTGGGCCTTGGCGGAAACTTCGCGGGCACTTCCCAGACTACTCCCCTGCCCCCTAGACCCTCGCCATCCCAGGGGCTATTTCCTTAGCCAAGAAATCCCTGGCTAAGAGCGTGTTCTTCTAAAAAGTGTTCTCTCCACTCCACGAGAGCTAATCCTTGTCTTTAGCTTCCTGACATTTCTTATAAATATCCCTCCTCGTCTCAGCTGTCACTCCTGCTTCTAAAGCAGTGACTCGACGGTGGGCCGCCAGAATTTTTTAAATGTGCAATACCTGGCTATTCAGTCGGGGACATTGATCTCCCCTTTTAGATGGTCAAATTGTTTTAAAAAATGACGACCGCCAACACAATAGCCGTCCGGTGTGAATGAGTCAAAGGGATGCCTTTTTATTTGTCAGACCGGCAGGAAACGTAGGTCTTGGCATGCTGCGGGGCGTTGGTCTGAGTGCCGCGGGAGGAGAAGGGCTGAAAACTGCTGTGCGGACCCCGAGCCCCGCAGCGCTCTGTGCGGGCCTGGCAGAGCGTGGGCGGGAGTGGAGGAAGAAGGGAGCGGGGAGAGGAGAGGGCAGAGGAGGGAGGAGTGGGTGGGGAGGAGAGAAGGGAGAGAGGCAGAGAAACACAGTTAAATGTTGACCACCCAGCCCTCCTCCTACGGTCACAGATGGCGAGTATCGGGCTTGGATTCTAAGATTCCTTGTCCACAGCCTGGGGCTATTCCCTGACACCAGGCTGCAGAGGACAGCTGTGAACTAAGCTGAGCTGGGCATTGGGGTGGGACCTACGTGTGATAACTATGAAGAAGGTAGAAATAATTAACTCGTATTGCTCTGATCAAAAACTCCCGTAGGGAGGCAGATGGAGCAGGAAGCATAACTGAAGGTTCCCTCGCAGGAAAAATCACGTCTTTCTGCGAACCTGACTAATTTTCCTCCCGAACTTCGATCTAAGTCTAATATTGGGAAAAGAGTGAAAAAATGGACTAACACACCTAGATAGAGTGTAGCTTTATCAGCCCTTCCTATTTTTACCCTCCCCACTTGGGTATTTGACCTTCAGTTTTATCAGAGAATCAAACAAACAGGAGGGGTTAAGGGGTTCTGAAGACACAGAAACCAAGCTCCTTGTTCTGAAAATGTTGCAGAAGCCCCACAGAAGGTTCAAACATGTGCCCCCCAAACTATAAAGGGGTCCAAGCGGTTCAACAGTTGCCGCTACTGATGGGACTGCTCTCAGGAGAACGACCCCTGTCGACTAGGTTTGGAGTCTCCACATTTTTCATTGGCCGCTGAGACTTTCTCATCTCTTGTCCACGATTACTTTTGTTTTTAGCTAAGTGGCAGACAAGCTTTGACCCCAAAAACACCCGAAAGCTGGACTTCCACGTGACCTCAGAGACCGTGGTGCAGGTGCCTATGATGAGATGCGAGGATGAGTATTACTACTACCTGGACCGAAACCTCTACTGCAGGGTTGTGGGAGTCCCCTACCAAGGAAATGCCACAGCTCTCTTCATCCTCCCCAACGAGGGCAGGATGGAGAAGGTGGAGGCTGGACTGAACCAGGAGACACTGAGGAAGTGGCTCAAGAAGTTCACAAAGAGGTATTCTCAGACGACACTGGGACCAGCCTAACCTATACACCCTGAGGGAGACGCTTGTTCCCTAGGGCCACACGGCAGTGGTGGGGAGGGCTGAAGAGCTCACCTGACCCAGCGCTGCCTCCAAGCCTAGAGGCATCAGGTGACGTCTCAGAGCCCCGGGGCCTGGCCCCGTTGCGGAGAGTGGGGCCGCAAGCCCGCTCTCCTGGCGGTGCCATCAGAGTGGGCTGTGACCTCTGGGGCGGCCCAGGTCCAAGTCCAGAGTGAAATGGGCTCTACTCTAGGCGAGGGGCTGAAGGGCCAGTATGAAGCCGAGGGGGGATGATAGGAATTTGAGCCAACGATCCGGTGCTCCAAAACAGCCTAAGAATGGTCCTCTCCTTTTTTTAGAAAGCTCTACCTTTACCTTCCCAAGTTCTCCATGGAGGGCTCCTATCAGCTGCAGAAAGTCCTCCCCATGCTAGGGATCAGAGACCTCTTCACCATGCAAGCTGACCTGACCGGATTCACCGACCACCCTAACATCCAGGTGTCTAAGGTGAGCCCATAAGCTGCCAAGCACCTGCTTTCAGAGATAGGCATTCTATTCTATTCTATTCTATTCTATTCTATTCTATTCTATTCTATTCTATTCTATTCCATTCATCCCATTCCCACCCTGTTCCAATCTATTCTATTCTAATCTGTTCTATTCCATTCCATTCCACTCCTTTCCATTCTGTCCTATCCAATCCTGTTGTATCCTATTCTATTCTACTCTAGCCTATTCTATTCTGTTCTCTTCTATTCCATTCTGTTCCATTCCCTTCCATTCCACATTCCACATTGTCTCTTTTTCTCCTCTTTTTCTTTGAGAAGCAAAGGTTTCCCTTTGTGTCTTATACCCTTTGTGCCATGAGAAGTCGTGTGCAGCACTGCCTCAGGGGAAGGAGCCCTGTATTAAGCAATCAAAAGTAAAAATCAGGTAGGAACTCCTACACTCGCTAGCTGTGTGACCTCCAACAACAATTGGACCTCTCTGAGCCTCCTTTCATTCTATGCAATCGGAGCGTCACACCATCGCTGGGAGAAGCCATGAGGATTCAATGACAGACACACGTGCACCATGCCTGGCATACAGCAGCTACACCTTCACGCCGTTCCCCACCTGCCTTGGGGCTCAGCCGTGCAGAGACCTTGACGGCGATGCCACAGGCAGAAGCTTTGCCGTTTCCTGTGGTGGCATCTCCCAGCCCCTGGTGATTTGGTGGTGTCTGTTGGGTGTCTCCCCCACAGATGGTGCACAAAGCCATGGTGGAGGTGGACGAGTCGGGGACCAAAGCAGCTGCAGCCATGGCGACGATAGTTGCGTTCCGGTCGGCCTTCCAGCACTCTCCGGTGGTGTTGTTCAACAGGCCCTTCCTGATGGTGATTGTGGAGAACACTGAGAACATCCTCTTCCTGGGCAAAGTGACCCAGCCTTGAGGTGGGGGTTTCTCCTGACAGGTCACAGGCCTCGGCCTCTGCAGTGGGAGAGGTGGGTGCGCAATGGCCTTCGATCTGCTGAGAGCTAATGATTTACACTGGTGTGGCTGACTAACGAGACTTTCGCTAAGTATAATGGTAGCCTTGATACACTGATGGTTGCTTCTTTTCACACAAGCACAAGGCCCGGGTGCCGTGAAGAACCCTGGAGAACATTTGGTCTTGCCCTCACCTTTCTTCAGTGGAGACTAGCTCTGAGGCCCAGAGAGTTTGGTTGACTTGCCCAAGGTCACATAGCATGTTAGTGGCAGAGAGAAGCCCACACCCCGGACCCCTCATTCCCAGCCCAGTGCCATAAAGCTCTATAGGAAGATTGTTCCAGTAGGTATTTCCACCAGGACGTGGACTTCCAAGCCTCATCCCCCACTTGTCAGCAATATGAGCTATCCATGTATTATGGTTTAGAAAGAACACTGGAATGGGAGTCTGGAATGGGGCTTCTGTCCCAGTTAAACATCTGTGTGACACTGGGGTAACTCTGTCCCTCTGTGGACTCTGGTTTCTCCATGTATACATTGAGGGATCAGGTCAAGGATTGAAGGATCCTTGAAATTGTATAAGAAGGCTGGGGTGTTCCCTGCCAATCACAGTTGATATTAATACATTGGAGTGCCATTCAGCCCTTAAGAAAAACAAGTGAACAGCAAGATGGAAATGACCAGCCACAGGACTGTACCATCCTATACCAACTGTACCAACCTATAACCAGAGTGAAGTTATAGTCTCATGAGTTTGGCTGGTGGTGGGGGCGGGTGGCAAATAGTAGAGCATCATTTGAACATATTACTGAACTTTAGTGCCAGCCATAACAATAAAGCATTTTGCAAGCGCTGGGTGTCATTGTCCTTAAGGAAGCGGCTCTGGGAATGGTGACATTCATAGCTGACCATGTTCCAGGCGAGGTGCTGGGCGCTTCACCAGGATGGTCGCATTGCCCTTCACCAGGTCCCCTAGGAAGCAGGCGCTATTGCCCCCATTTTACAGATGGGAAAGGTGAGGCTTGCAGAGAGCGGGCGGCTTACCCAGTCACACTGCCCCCAAGGGGCAGAGGCAGGATTTGACTCCATGCTGTGGCCCCAGACCCACAGAGTTAACCCTGTGCTCGGCTGCTGAGGAGAGGCAACTGGGACACCGCAGCCTGAGTTGGGGGCAGCTCAGCTGTAAGCTCCCCTACTGTGAAGGAGGCTCGCTGTCCTTCACAAAACCCACCGTGCTCTTCTCTCCGTCAAATGGACCGGGGGTCAGAGATTTTAAAGACACTTCAGTGAATGAATAAGCCAATGAGCCCTTCACTCAGTGTCAAACAGTCCCCTCACCAGCTGCCTTCAACTCTGACCCCTGGAAGGTCTGCCCACCCCCCGCTGCATGCATGCCTTTAGCTTGCTTTCCCCGAGGCTGCTTGTACCGCTCTGATCGCAGAGTCTGGACTGTATCACAGAAGGGTGCCCCTTAGAACTAACAAGATTGGAACGCCAAGTTGGACACCCCAAAGCACTGAGCACCTGTCATGTGCCAGCCCAGGGGGTCGCTTTGCATCTGTGATCCCTCATTAATCCCTGAACTGCCCTGCAGGGCATATTGCTTGCACCTGTTTCATAGAGGCAAACCTACGTGCTTGCCCAGAGCTCCACAGCCGAGAGGCCCTGGCCCTGGGACCCAGACGGCACATGTCGGTTGGTGGCAGGCAGATGGCTAAACCCCAACCCGGACCACTTGTCTGAACTGGTGCTTCAAGCTTGGGACAGCTTTTTGGAATTGGGCTTCCTGATGGGGTCAGACCCGCTCCTGTGTGCCTTTCCCTTGCGAAACGCCTCATGTGTTTACCCAGCCAGTCCAAGGTCAGGGGGAGGCTCTGCCTGTATAACGTGTTTAAGGCCAAGGTCCAATGCTATCTAAAATTTCCTGGGCAAATGGCAGCAAGCAGCTAGTGTACGCGAGATTGGGATGGGCTCCGGCTGTCGACTGGTGAGCCTAGGCCGCGTGACCAGTACCAAAGCACCCTGCTGGGTGCCCTGTGTCACCCCATGGTCACGTGATCCGGGGATAGCAGCTGGGGGGCAGGGGGAGAGAATACACTTCCGGGGGTCAGGAATGCTTTCGCAGGAGAGGAGGCGCCGAGCAGATCTTGAAGTATAAGCAGGACTTTGACAGACAGCAGTTTGAGAGCAGGGGTGGCACTTTCAGGCACAGGGAACAGGGCTCGAGAAGAGTATGACACTGAGCGACCTGCAGTGTGTATGGCAAACCACAGAGACTTCAGTCCGGACCAGTGTGGGGAAAGGGGACGGTGCTGGCAGTCCAGCGGCGGACCCTGAACACAGGGATGGGGGTTGTCCTCTCTCATCCTGATTTCAGGCCAGTTTGGCCATCACGCCACACCCTGAGCACCCGCTGGACACCTTCCCATCCCTCACTGCCCCATCTGTGCATCCGTAGGTATGCCCCACTCAGCCCTCTAGGGGGCGCTCACATCCATTCAGTCCTGCTCCAACACACACTGATCGCTCTGCTTGACCTCATTATCCCACCCGGTAACGGGGTGCCTGTAGGGTGGCTGCACATGTAAGTAGCACTGTCCCCTCAGAACCCTCTTTCTTAGCCACTGGGATTAGGTTACTAAAGCTGTCATAACACGATACCCCAGGCTGGGCAGCTTAACAACAGAAATGCGATCGCTCAGTCCTGGGTGCTGGAGGTCCCAGATGAAGGTGTCGGCAGGGCTCGTTCCTTCTGAGGTCTCCTTGGCTTGCCGATGATGGCTGTGTTCTCTCTGCCTCTTTACACGGTCTCCCATCTAAGCCTCTGCGTCGGAATCTCCTCACCTCCCAATCTCTACCGGTCCTATCGGATGAGGACCCAGCGACGGACCTCGTTCCCACACAGCCACTTCCTTCAAGGCCCTGTCTCTAAGTACAGCCACATTCCGACCTGCTGGGGGTTGGGACTTCAACCTATGAATGTGAGGGAACACAATTCACCCCATAATAGTCACCCCATCTTTGGGTTCCTGTCCTATTCCCAAGTTCATTCTTGTTGGTAGGGTAACACTTGTACTTTCTTCTCTGACCACATATACTTCCAGGGCCACCTTTTGTGAACCACTGCCACCAGCATGTGCAGGAACAGTGCCAGGGCCCAGGGCCCCTGCCTCAACCTGTCCCTGGAGGGACCCAGACCAGAAAGAAGGACCCTGGGCTCCAGAGCGAACACTCCATGCCCCGCCGAGCAGCCATGCCCAGCCTGCACCTGGTCATTAGCCCACTCATTCGGAGGCCGTTGTTGGGCTCCCGCGGGGCTCAGCGTGGAGCCGGTACAGGGGGCACTGGGGAGCCCAGCAGACACGGGCGATAACCAGGTGAGCAGGTGAATAAACACAGAATTACAAACAGCTGAGGCACTGGCTCAGGACTCCGGCCAGAGGTCCCCCAGACGCGTCCGACTCCCCCAGACCCGTCTCCGGGCTGCCCCCGCCCCCCGCACCCCCCTCTGTCACCTCCCACACTGCGCAGTCACTGTCCCTCTGGGTCTGTCTCTCTCACATGCCAAGAAATCTGCGAGGGCTCAGGTCATCCCTGGGCCCCCAGTGCCCAGCGCCGGCCTTGGCCCAAAGGGGGCTCTCAACAAACGTTGGATGAGTGAATGGAAGGGCTAAGTGAGGGGAAGTTCCAGAAGATTCCAGGCCTCTGCAAGCCCTCAGACCACTGCCTGGGCCTCAGATCCCAGCATACACAGCCTGAGCCTGCCCTGAAGGTGGGGTTGTGATAACAAAAGGCGCACCCAGATAAACACGAACCCCAGACACTGAAGCCCTCTTCAGAGCAGGTGTGTCCCAGGCCGGTGCGAGGCAGGCGCTTGGTTTGCTGCACCTGGCAGCTCCAGCTGCAGGAAACCAGGACGGGCGAGGAGTGGCCGTCCCGATGGCCAGAAGCCAGTGGTCCTCGCTGCAGCGAAGAGGGGAGGCCAGTCCCGGGGACAGCGGGGCGAGGCTGCCGGCTGCAAGGGAAGTGGGAACAGGTCTGGGCGAGCGACGGGAGGGCCTGGTTCCCCGGAAAGGACCACGGAAGGCTTCCTGCCGCGTATCGGGCAGCCTGGCGTGGAGCAAAGACGCCTCATCTGTGACTGCGCCCAGCTGAAGCCTGGGACAGGAGGCTCCCGGAGTTTCCCTGGTGTGTAAAGGACGTAGACAGCCTCCCTTCTCCTGGACCAAGCTGAGGGCTCCGCAGGGACAGGTCTGCTGGAGGTGATGTGTGTAGGGCCCTGCATCGCTGGTGTGCCAGCGGCAGAGGTGGGCGGGGCCAGACCACGTGGACCCTTTTAAACTGAGCAGGGGAGGACAGGAGGCTTCAAGTCAAAGAATGCCCGGAATGTCCTATGTGCTTAAACACAGTCTGGAGACTGGGTGGGAAGCAGACCGGCCGGGTGGTTTGGGGAACGGCAGGTGGCCGGCGGCAGGCTTGCGGACAGCTCGGGGGTCACGGCGCTGGGGCCAGTACTTGCAGCCAGGACCGGAGTGCGGGCAGCAGAGATGGAGAGTGCAGAGGGGGTTCCAGGACATGGAAGGGAAGGGTCTCATCCCACACTGAAGTGGGGACGGGGTGGAGGGGATGAGCCCCTTTTCCTGGCCAAGCTGGGAGACAGGGGCAGCATTCACTGAGACATGGACAAGCGGGGTCGGCGGGGGGGAAGCAGAGAACAGCAGGGGGTTTTATTTAGGGTGCAATCAGTGTGAGAGGCCACCTAGGAGGCACTGGTGTCAGAATTCCAGTTACCACAAATCTGTGAAACTTGGACAGAGCCTCAGCACCGCTCCCCGACCTGCAAAGACGGAAGTAGGAGGTGACCAATGGGACAGGCAACGTGGCAGGGGGGCACTGAGGAAGTGGGGGTGCGTGGTCCTCCCTGCAACGGCACCCAGGTCAACAAAGAGCTCTGCAGGCACCTCCACGCCCCCGGGCCCTCGAAACCGGAAATCTGACACTTCCTCGTGACTAATAATCAGAACCTCCAGGTGGCAAGCCCGGGTTTTCTGGACCGCACGCCAGGATTGCTCCAACAGCTGGCACAGAGCGCGGGCAAAGCCTCGGGCTGGCATGCAGGTGCTTCCACCTGCCGCTGGCTGCTCACGTCTGGGGTGGATGAGTCTCAAGGCCGGGCTGGGAACAGGTCAGCGGGGAGTGGCACAGCATTTCCCGGAGCAGACGGGCGCGTGGGTGAGGAGCCAGCAGCCTGCCTGGTGGAGAGTCCAGCCGGGTGCTCACTTACGCCTGCGGCCTTGGGAACTTGCTTCATCTCTCTGTCCTCAGTTTCCTCATGTGTAAAGTAGAATAACTAAAGCTTCTTTAGGAGATACAGTGAGAGCTCGTAGCATAAAGAGCAGCACAACTGTGATTATATCATCGTCATGACCGGGCCTCTGTGCGGGTGGGGAAGGGTTTGCTTAAAAATGGAGAAGTCAGAGGTAACATCCATTCACCGAGGCATTAATGATGTGGCCCATGCTGCTTGGTGAAATTGACCTCTTTTTTTAAAATATAATACTCAAGTTTCCCTGATGACTGTCTTCTCCCGATCCTCAGAGCCAAGCGGGCAGGTGGTGGGGATTTGGGTTAAGTTACGGCTGCGTAGTGACTCATTTCAACTGTTTGCAGCTCGGAACAACCGAACAGTTTACTGTCTCACAGTTACTGAGAGGTTGGGCCGGGTGATTCTGGCTCCCGGTCTCTCCTGAGCGTGTGCACAGGCCATGGGTTGGGGCTGCGGATCCCGAAGACCTGGCAGGGGCTGGAATTTCATGTCCATGCTCACTCATGCGGCTGTGGGCTAGAAGCC